ATGAAATTTCAGATATGTTGGACTGCTTTGATTTCAGCTAAAAGTAGTTTATAACAATGGTACATTGTATTGTAATTTTGTATGAAGAACTGTTTAGCTGGTCTATTTATGATATTTTATGATTGTGAGGAATTTTATGACTTAGCAATGTGAGTTATATTGTAGATTGTTGAATGAAGTGTGCAGATCATTCCTTTTTTTTTCTTTTTCATGTCATGTTTTTCAAACTGGTGTAGGCTTTTCTCATGTTTATTTGTATGTTACAGCTCCATTCTTTGCTTACCTTTGCCGATTAACTCTGTGGTCTGTTATAGAAAATGAAGTAAATGTTTCTGTCTGTTTTCGTTATATTTCAGTGGAACAAAACAACCTCATGGAGCTTTGGCTCTCTTCATGCTTGCAGGCAATCACATTGTTCAGTCTGAATGTTTTCAAGGTAGCTCAACCATTAGCTGGCAGGAAACACAGCAAATTTTATCTTTAGCAGTTAAAATTGGGAAAAGATGCTTGAAAGTAAACTAAGCTTTCAAAGTGAAAATGATACTAAAGCTTAGTGTGAGCTTCTCATCATGGCAGTACTCATATGTTATGTTTTCTCCTCTGCTTCTCTCTGTACCCTTTTCTTAATCTAATGTTTGTATAATTGCTTGAAAATGTGACATTATGTAACGTGGTTTTTTGTGTTCTCCCCCCCTCCCCCAAAGTATTTTGTGTATACTAGTGGTAGTTATTTGATTTATTAAGAATCAGTCAAAGAAGGTATGGCAGGAATTACAAACTTTTAAAAGTAGACTACATCCAGATAGTTAATGTCTCAATGAAATAAATTGATGACCTTTTAGAGTGTTAGGTGATGGAGTATAAAAGTCTATGCTTGGGTTATTTATAGATGTAGGGGAGTGTTGAAGTTTTTCTAAGAGTTTAGTTTGTTTTATCTGTTGTTACGTTAAGCACAGCTCAGACTGGAGAAAGTAGTGGCTTGATTGCTGAATCATTTCTCTAAGTCTGAAATTTACAGTTGGCAAGGCCAGAAAATTCCTCCTGAAAGAATTTACTTGTTCTTTACCAAGTATTGTTTCCATGGACTTGCAGTGAGGAGCACAGTGCACAAGCGTTTGTTGATTTCACAGACTCTGTGCCCATCCTGGCTCTTAGGATACTTCCCTAACTGCATTATCTTCTGGCAGCGAATGCTTAAGGTGCCTGGCTTTGATCGGGCTGTAATGAATTTGCATGTTGCTCTCTGTTCTGAGTAATGCTGGAGCTGTACAGTAATTGCGCAGGTGAAAAGTGGATGTTGCTTGCTCAGTCTTGCTTCAGCAAACACTGTTTTGGTATTGACTCTGCACATAAATAAAAGTAAACTGTGATGCCAGAATTCATGGCTTTTTTTTGTCACGTCATTGACATTGTAATGTATTTCACTGTGACGAGAAGGAACACATTAACAGACCTAGAGTTGAGACTGGTTACTATCACATATAAAAATCATAAAATCATAGAATGGTTTGGGTTGCAAGGGACATTTAGAGATCATCTAGTCCAACTATACTCACCATAAAAAAAATTCCTCCCATATATTCAACTGAAATCTACTCTATTTCAATTTAAAATGATTGCCATGCTTCTACTGAAGCCTTCCTCTATTACTAATAAATACAATCACTCTGAGCTTTTGTTTGATCCTTTTGTATCGCAAAAAAATGCTGTTATATTTTAACCCCAGCCAGCAACTAAGCACCATGCAGCAGCTTGGTCGCTCCTCGCCTCCCCCATTGGGATGGGAAGGGGAATCAAAAAAAAGTAGTAACACTTGTGGGTTGACATAAGAAGAGTTTAATAACTAAAAATAATAACATTGTTAATAAAATATGATAAAATAGTAATTGTAATGAAAAGGAATGTAACAAAAAGAGAGAGGGAGATAAAGTCCAAGAAAAGACAAATGATGCATGACATAACTGCTCACCGCTCGCTGACCAGTGCCTGAGCAGTGATTCACTTTCTGGCCAGCTCCCCCCAGTTTATGTAGTGAATGTGATGTTCTCAGGAAGGGAATATCACCATCCCTGAAGTTATTTAAAAGGTGACTAGGTGAGATGTTTAGGGACCTTGCTTAGTGGTAGACCTGATGTCACTGGGTTAACTTAATGGTTTGGACTCGATGACCTTAAAGGTCTTTTCCAACCTACATGATTCTGTGTTTCAATATCCCTTTGGCTAGTTCAGGTCAGCTGTCCTGGCCCGGCTGCCTCCCAGCCTCTTGCGCTCCTGCACACTAGCAAAACATGGGAAGTTCAAAAGTCCTCGACATCGTAGCAACAACTAAAACCATCGGTATATTATCAACATTCTTCTCATACTGAATCCCAAACATGGCATTGCTCTAGTTACTAAGAAGGAAAATTAGCTCTGTCTCAGCTGAAATGAGGACAAATACGCAGGAGTTTATGTAATGATGTGACCTTAATATCTGTGAGTAGATACCCTATTTTTTATTTCTTTAAAACTGAATGCTTGTCTTGCTCAGAGTAGTGGGTAACAAAAGAAACAACTGTTATATATTATTTTTTGTTTTCAATTTTAAGAGGCTGTTTCTCATTTACTGCACAGCTTTCACCACTGAATACTAACCTTTCACAAACTTCTGCTGATCTGCGTTTATGAAACCATCTCCTTCTTATTATTCTTAATGAAGTTATATTTATTACTGCCTTTTTAAAATATTTTTACCTGAAATGCAGTGAGATTATGTGGCTTTGTGATGATCAGTTAAAAAAAGTCACTTAATAAAACAAGTCTTCCCTAATTCTATAATGTGTGCCGTTTAACAAGATGCTCTTTCTCTATAATATGTATCTTTTAACAACATGTTCCTTCTCTTACAATCCCCAAGTATTTTCAAATAACTGTGGTCAGGATTAATTAATTTTGTAAAATTTAAGGATATAGTTTTTGTTCATTTTTTTTATCATATAGTGCAGCAAGAGAGAGGGTGGATTTTTTATTTGTTTTGCTTGTTAGGGACTAGTTTTTTTTGGGGGGGGGTTGTGGATTTTTTGAATTTTTTTGTGGCCTTAGGGTTTTTTTGGTGTTTTTTTTTGGCTATGAAGCACTTGGATTATGATCTCCTTCCTCATGATACAGCACTGTTAGTGCAGTGACTTATTTGCAACTAACTCCAAGATTGCTTTTCCCCTTTGCAGTTACAGTTTCATATCATATTATTTATGTAAGTAAAATCTTTTGTGAATGAAACAGCATAAAAACACAGTTGCAGTATAATATAGTGAATTTCTGCAGCAGTCAAATATAGATTTTAAGAGGCCTGCCTCTTAGCAGGACCAACAGCTGCTGCTGCGGAAAATAACCATAGAAATTTCAGGTTGAAATAATTAGTTGGCAGAACTGGAAGACAATCTTAAGAAAACCAGTTTTCACTGTTCCGCTCACCAGATAGAAACGCCGGTGCTTTGTGGAGTAGCTCATACGCTTCTCTGAGAGCTCATGTGTATGCACATACCTGCAAGCACATTTGTTCCAGGACACAGCAGGTTTGTGAGTGCCTGCAGTGTTGAATGAGGTTTCTACTCAGTTATACCCACAAAGTCAGCGCGTGCATTCAGTCTGCTTCAATCTTTAGCTTGAATCAATCATGAGGATGAAACAGTTTCAAACAAGTTATTACCTCCTTACAGCCCTATCAAAAGTATGACAAACAGTTCCTGGACATCTATCTTGTTTTAATTCTTACTATACTTGAACAATGTTATTACTAGAAAATAATATACATTCATCACCTATGTTGCTGACTTCACTTTTTGGTCTTCCAATGTTTCTTGTCATTACAAGAATACCATTTTACAGAAATTTTTTTCTGCAGTAGCCACTGAATGTCAGTACTGGCTATTTCATGTAGAGCATTTTGCAAAGATTATTGAGATGATTATCAAGCCAGAATAATTCAAATAACTTGAAGGTCAATTTGATGCCAAGGGTATTTCTTAGGCTTAAATCTGACTGTTACATTATTTGAATTTAAATCAAGATCATCAGTAATTAAAGGTTAAGAATCTATTTTACTGGATCCTTGCTGGCAAGACAAGGCAGGGATTCTTTTAATTTAAATGGATTTATAATTGTGATCATTTTTCCCCCCTCTCTCTTTTTCTAATAGCGGCTCTGATTCGAGGGAATCGTAAAAACTGTGCTCAATTTTCCGGATCTCTTGATTGGTTGATCAGCAGATTAGAAAGACTGGAAGCCTCCTCTGGTATGCTTTTTTGTACTTTAAGTTCCTTACTCGGCCAACTTTTTATTCTTTAAAATTGATGATATGCTTGTTCAGTCTAGTTATCATGTTATTCTTCCTATGAGAGAGTAAATTGTATTAATGAGATTTATAACATTTTTGTATATTGGTTTCAGTTTAGTTCTACCTTAAGTTCTCGCAGTCTTTCCTTTTCCTTGTCCAATTGATGGTATTGTTATGTATTAATTCAGGCAGACAAACCAGGGGGTGAAACAATTGTTACACAATTTCAGTTGCATTAAGTTGCTTTCTCTCTAACTCTCTGATACCTTCCCTTCACTTCTGTTTCAAAGGCTGCATGTTTTTCAAGGTTTGTGTCAAACTAAATAGAAGGACTTTAGTGGTAATGTAGGGAGGTTCATCTACTCTACTTGAGTTTGAGTAGCGTTACCTCGGCAATACATGCAAATTCCCTTTTTAGTCACCCCTCTCTTGAGGTGTGAATTTCTGTTTGAAGTTAACAAAGAGCATTCCTGGAACACATTTATTATTTGAGAATCTGGGAATTATGTCTCACTTTAGACACAAATTCTTCGAACTATCTTATTTTTTTCTTTGTCATCACCTAATGTCTTATCTGCCTCCTGAACCCCTATCTTAACCCCTTAATTACCGATGAGATGCAATTCCTGTTTACGCTGAGCTGTACCATATTTCTCACTGAAATAGTGATCCTGCATTCTGTTTCCTCGGAAGCTATATGTTCTCCATAAACCTACTCTGCCAACTAAATACATTATATTTTTAAGGTTCCAATGAATTATTTTTTTTTAAATACCGCAATTAAACTTGATCAAAATCCTCTTTGAATCCATCTGAATGGCAGACAGTAATCAAACTTGGACCCAGCAGCTAAGAAATGAGATTCAAAGAGGATGATTAGTTCTGGACTCATAAGACTGGTTTTTGACTCTTCAAGCATGCTTTTCATGGTGATGATTATATAAAGATCAAAATACAAAGTAATACTGTTGATAAGAAATGTCACTGTAGCCTGATTCCCTGCAACCCTATTGTTTTTCAAGATTAGTAAAAGCATTTTTTGGAATAAAAAAAAATGCATATTGTAAGACCAGTGTTTAAAATTTTATTCTTATTGATGTAATACTACTTGGGAGTTCTACAGGTTACAGCAATAACTGAAAACATGAATATGGCATGATGAGTTCTCTTTGTATCTGCTTTGCTGATTAATGTGAATCATAGGGCATGAGAACAAAGAAATTATGAAAAAGGTGAAATAAGTAAAATGTTAACAGCTCTTTACAGTAAGCTTCATTTCTCACATGCACTAGGCAGAACAAGCAGAAGCTTAGAGTCTAAATTGAGCTTTTATACCCAACAAGAAATTTGCCTTGCTAATTCTTCCTCCTTGTAGTTAGAAGTGAAGAGAGAAATACAGAAATATAAATAATACAAATTGGAGAAGTCATACAGGTTAATGTTAACATATGAAAAAATAACATAGTAAAATCAATTTTGGTTTGAGACATTTCAGTCTTTTACATAGGCCATTAACATAATATAGAAGCATGTGTCTTTTGGCCAATATACAATTTTTAAGTTGCACTACTAGGAAAAACCACTAAATGTTTCTAAGAAATGTATTTGTAATATGCCTTCTAGTGTAGAAGTTGAGAAAATTCTGTTTTCAGTCAATAATGAGTAAAAAATAGTCCAGTGGAGAGTTAACAAATCCAGAGGAGGGCCGCAAAAGTGGTCAGAGAGATAGAATACCTCCCCTATGAAGAGAGGCTGAGAGAGTTGGGGTTGTCCAGCCTGGAGAAGAGAGAGCTCGGAGGAGACCTTATAGTGGCCTTCCAGTACCTGAAGGGGGCCTACAGGAAAGCTGAGAAGGGACTGTTTACAAGGGCATGTAGCAATAGGACAAGGGACAGTGGTTTTAAACTAGAGCAGGCTAGATATCAGGGAAGAAGTTCTTTGCTATGAAGGTGGTGAAACACTGATGCAGGTTTCCCAGAGAGGTGGTGGAAGCTCCATTCCTGGAGACATTTATGGTCAGGCTGGATGGGGCTCTGAGAGATCTGCTCTAGCTAAAGATGTCCCTGCTCACTGCAGAGGGTCTGAACTTAGATGACCTTTATCTATCTCTTCCAACCCAACACATTCTGTGATGCTATAAGTTGCTAATGGCTACTCCACCCTTCCTTTCTTAAATGCAAAGGGCTGACCTTATGCCAAAACTGGTTTTGTGACTAGTGTAGGATAGTCCTCTTGGACGAAACAAGGAGGATGGTTACAAGAGCAGTGCGAACAATGTAACACAACTTTCTGGTTACATATTTGTAGTTTATTCCCATCATCTTGTTATTTTAGTGTTGTTTCATGAACTAGAATGTAATAGTCTTCCTTCCAATAATAATTTTTCATTGATTACAGAGCTATCCTTGAGTATTAAAATTTCCTTCCCCATCCTGTTCTTCCCAATCCTGAATCATTGTTCTGTCACAGATGGATGTGTCCTTGGATTTGTTGACATCTCAAGGGAGGAATGTCGGGAAGGGAGGATGTCCCTCGTTGTAAAATTCTTTGATTTATGTTGGACTGATGGATGTTTGAAAAGACAGGTCACAGGCATAACACAGTTCTCATCAGCCTTTTACTGTGGTGCTAATATGCGAGTAGTATCCTGCTGTTGCTGAGTATCCCAGTGATAAATTGGAGTTGTCTCAGCTGCAGATCACCATATATTAACAAATTTCTTACCTCAGCAGTTTTCAGTGGATCATCATCAGCCATGAGAACTAAATAGGTGTAATAACTGAACATTTATATTGGTTTACATTCTTGTTAGGGAAATCTGTGATCTTACTGCTTTCATGAACATGCGAGTAGCAGAGAATTCATGCGGAAACAAACATTTTAAAATTGGCAAAATTGAAGGCTGAACCTTTTCTCCACTAGAGTCCACCTTTGGTGTGAGAGCATTAATCTAAGGACAATGTTCTCACAGTTACGTAGCTGTATGGGAATTGACTGCAACCGTCTTAATTCCAGTGTATTTTCTCAGTTGTTCATGGTGAAATTATTTCCTAAGAGATCTAATTTTACCTCTTAAACTCTCAGGGCTAGGATTTTCACAAATAATGCAAAACTTTGTGCTCAACTTTTGGAGGTGCAAGATTAAATTTGTTATGACAGCTCTAAAAATGCTGTTACATAGTTTCTGTTATGTATGTTTGCATTTCTCAAAATTAATCCCGGAGTAAAAATATGATTTGAATATTAAAACCTAGATGTTTATGTTTATGATATTATAGTAAGGTGTGAACTCTGAATTGCAAAGTAATCTGATATTGCAGGTGTAGTACAAAATGAACCTCGTGACCTGCTGCAAAAATTCTGAAGGCACGAATATTTCCAATACTTGTTTGTTCTGAGTTTTCATCTGGGAACTAGGCCACTTGAACTTCTTCCCCATATGTTCTGGTAAACTTACTTCCATGTTGCCTCCAAAACTGATTTTATAATTAAGACTTTTTCTGGTTTTGAGGAAGTCAGTTACACAAGATGCTAATTATGCTGTGCTTTAGTTGTATCAAGAGGCATGGTAAGTTTAGCTTTTAGTATGTGTGTGCTTTTATGAGTTTATGTGGGATGCTTCCTTGCCAGACTTTAAGGTTTATATGGCTTGACTGGGGGGAGGATATTTGCTATTTCAATTTACGGTGTTAGGTCTACAGTAGAGAGAAATATTGGATTATATTACACCTTTTAAATAAGACTAGCTGGCTGCATGTATTCACCTAAAATAATTCATTTTCCAAGGTAGAGTGTTTATGAGAAAGAAACACCATGTTCTGTTTATCAAACCAAAATTAAATTCAAATTCAACATTGAAGTTGTCATCCTCATCTCCTGCAAGTGTTTTCTTGAATGTATTGTGATGAAGATTTGATCCCATAAACTATTATCAGTAAAATTCTCATTTTCACTCTTTTCTTATCCTTGAACTAAAAATCTTATGAAACCAGAATAAAAGCTTTAAATATATAAAGAGCAATTGTGAGTTGATTGTTCAAATTAGATTAGAAATTGATTCAGATCCTGACTTTCACTGAAGCAAAAGAATGAAATTGAAAATTTGTCCCAAGTATAAATGTGTCTGAGAATAGATGATATTAGAAGTGAGATATCACAGGAGCTAAGGGAATAACGCAATGCAAACACTTCAGCTGTCTCTTCAACGCATAAATTAAGATTAGATTGGTCTTTCACTCTGAAATATATTCCAGGTCGGATTAACTAGTTTTACTAAAATTTTAAAGGCATTAAAACGTAGTTAATAAGAAAATAGAGTAGGTCAAGTTAGTAAGCTAATATTCTCCAAGTGAAGATTTTTGGAAGAAGATAATATGTGGTTTTGAGATGGATGTTGGTGGCTTCTTTTTTTTTTTTAAAGGCACGCATTTTATTTTGTTCTACAGTATGACATTAGAGGAGTCAACAGGTTGTCCTGAAAATATTTACTCCTTTAATCGCTTGAGACAGAATTTTCACTCATCTTTGTCTTAAACTTTGCATATCGTACTGTTTGTGACATTTGTATTTAATTCAAATGCTTCCTGCTTTACTGCCTTGAGGAATTCGATGAAATTGGATCAGGTCCAGTTGTCTTTAATATAGACAATCTAAAAGTGGATCAGTACAAACAGACGTGCATTCGTATGTGAACAAAATGTGTCTGATAACTAGCATTTAGATGGTGCAGGAATTGAAAAGTTGCTGTGGCAGCTGGGTCTAATTGGTAATATCAATTTATTGTTGAATATTTACATCTTAAAAGTATTTTTACTTGTTATTGAAAAGGTTGAAACTAGAAAATGAACCCTGTATATTAAGACAAGGCTAAGACAAATCTGAAAATGCCAAAGTGATGGCTACCACTCCTACATTGTGTGGTATTGTTTTGTATTAGGTCACTGTTTGTATTCTTAAAAGTGTTCTGCATTGCTACAATGAGAGGTGGCAAACTTAAATTACCAGGTTTTGAATGTAATGACTTCCCTGCATTCCTAGATCACTGTGGCACCCAATAAAGTAATCGATTTTATTACAGATTGAAGCTCCTTTTTTAACACTTTTGTTACCTCCCTAGGTAGTTCTACCATGCCCAAGTGATCCCTGCATGTCAAGCTAGCAGGCTGGAGACATTGTGCTCCTGCTGTGTTGCTCCAGATCATTTACTCCTTTAGCTTGCTCTCGTGACTCTTAAGTTTTTATCCATTTTATCAATATTGTTACTGTTGATATTAGAAGCGTACTTCTATTGCATCCCAGATTATACCACCACCAAATTCAAATTTAATGCATTTTTTATCTAAGATTTTCTGCTCATGCCTCCAGGGCTACAGAATCACTTTGGGAGTTCATGTCTAGCTCTTTGTATAGTTGTTGTTGACTTATTTGGAGCCATTGCATAGAACAAGAAAATTACAGTATCTATACAGAGTTACCTGCGTTTTCTGTTACCAATGAATGACTTTGTCTTCCAGCATATTAAAACACACACTTTTTTGAAACCTGTTTACCAGATAAATTATCAGTGTATCTGTTATCTTCCACCTTTTACTACATTTTAGTCCTTGAGTAATCTGTAGACTTTATTAGTGATGACAGCATACCTTGCACTAGATCCCTGGAAAAGCATTAAGTAGTATAGGGATAAAAGGTGATTGTGCTGTAGGGTGCCTGAGATTAAAACGAGAGATCTGAATGAAGGCAGATGACTGCAGATGTGACTGGAGGCATTAGAAATTGCAGTCCACATTTGAATTCAAATTTTCTTGTGAAATAAAAAAATAAATAAATTTTCAAATAGCGAATAATTTAAAACTAACCTTTGTCTCTTCCGGCAGACTAATTTGGTTTTAACAATGTTGCAAATCTGGAATCTAAGTTTTAAGAAAATTTTTTAAAGTCTTTGTTAACAGATGAGTGTTCATAAAATTCCTTGTATTTTTTGTTCTCTGTTTGTAAGAATTCTGCACAGTCCTGTAAAAGATTGGTTTTTGTTTTATTTTTTGTTTATGAGGAGGTCTACAGTTTATTTGTCTGTGCTGGTATTTTCACTTTTGTTTTTAATAGAGCTACACCTTGATCCAAATGCAAGTAAGTATAGTACAAGTTGGTTTGAAATTAACAAAAAAATTATTCATGAGCTGAAAGTATTTTGATCTCTGCTGGTGTTTTCCCCAATAAGAAACTTGGGAAATTCTCCAGATGGGATTTTCTACTGACCTGATAAAAGACAACAGATTAGACTTGGAACTCCTGGCCATTTATGTACCTCATAAATAATGGCTTTAATATCAGCCTTTAATTATTTCATGGTTATTATTTTTTTCATTTTATTTCATTATTCACTGCATAAGCATGCATTTCGTACTTAGCAGAAACAGATATATTGGTTTAACTTTTTTTTTTGTTCTCATTACTTGAAATTCTGTTTAGAGTTTCTGATTTTCAGCTTTTCTTTTAATTTTTGCTTTGCTGTTTCTAAAATGGTTGCTTGATTAAATTTTTAGTTTGTGAGAGGCTTTATGATCAATTAATTATAAGATTCCAGACTATATTGTATTGTTACTCAGGAATTGTTTAAAAAACCACAAAAGTGCACGTGTGTGTAAAAATTCTCCCGATAAAACAAAATATTTATAGCATTTATATTTTCTCAGTTGTTTGCAGATTGAAAGTTTGTTTTTATTGTTTACAAATTCAGAAAACCTCAGATGCATGACTATTCATCCAGTTATATGTACCACAATCTTTAAATATTAGCTGTTGTATATATATTACACACAGGTTTTTGTCAGTGTTTTGTTTGAAACCAGTTGAAATCTAACAGGAAAGAACATGCTCCTGTCTGTAAGCTTTAGATCCAGTCCAGAATGTTAAGGTGAGGAGGAGGAAGCTGATCAACATAAAGTCAGTTTCACATCAAATATTTCTATGTCATCACACTGTCTTGGCACCAAGACTGAAAATCTCTGTTCAGTTAGTAGCTGTTTGGAACTTTTTTCCCTTTGCTGACCCTGTTCTTACTTGGCTGTAATGGCCGATGAACTCTTCCTCATGAGGATCAAAGAAAGGCAGGGGTATTCTGAGGCAACATTTTTGTCTGATGAGTTTTTTTGTCAGCACCGAGGAGAGTTTGCGGTGGTGAGGAGCAGAAGACTCTTGCTATGGATCTTGCTTTGCAAGGGTTAAGCTGAGTGTCTGGAGCCATGACTAGAATAAAAGAATGAAGACGGAATGATGAGAGATACACAGTGCGAACAGGAATTGTGTATCTCTACGTTTAAAACAGCTTCTCAGCCTTTCCTCAGTGCTCTCTTTTGTTTTTTTTTCTCAAGCAACTGATAATAATGAACTACGTGTGTGATATCTGTCTTTGCCAAATGTGGAAGATCTCAAAGCAAGTGGCGACTTGATCCAGTACACATGGGAGCATGTTTTACTGCCCCGTTGCAGGGAACCATTTTAAAGGCTAATGATTCTTGATGGCAATGACTGCTGCTTTATTGGGATTTGATTTGCATTTAATTGAGGGGCCACTGGAGATTCAGTGATGCTTACATCCTTGAGCATCTTAGTTTCGTGCTAGTTTCTAGCTAGTTTCTACCAGTATGGCTGTTACATAAACAAAGAAAATTATGCACAATGGACTAGTATACTGGAAATTTACCTCTGCTCTCTGATTCAGTGGTATATGATTCAATTAGTGGTCCACATGGTTTTCTAAGGGAAGAAACAGAAAACTATAAACATCGAGAGCATATTTTATGTATATGGATTATATGTAGTGTAAAGTCCTCACCTCTTCACTGAAAACCAATATTTTACCCATTTTGTTTGCATTTGTGAGTGTTGATCATCACATATTTATTAACTGAATTTCAAATTAATGTACAGGTTTTTTCCTGTCCTTTATGATTTTACTACATTCACTTATTTTGGGAAATCTAGAAGTACATCAATCCTGGTTCTGTTTATCATATGTACTGATTCTGAAACTATTTCATGTTGCTGAGCAATATATTACAAAGTATTAAGTGCAGATATGATTTTAGAGGCAGTTTGATTAATTTCTTTTTTCATTTCCCAGGAATTCTAGAGGTCTTACACTGTGTGTTGGTGGAAAGTCCAGAAGCTCTAAACATTATTAAGGAAGGACATATTAAATCAATCATCTGTCTTTTGGACAAACATGGAAGAAACCATAAGGTAGGCAAACAAGAGACAGGTGTATTTAGATGAGTATTTGTGAAAAAGTAAGCACATTCAGTGTAGAAGTTACATTTCAAATACTTTAATATTGTATTCATAATCAGGAACAAAACTTTGCCTAAAAGCCATATGAGCAGTTGAAGAAGCAAAGGGGAATGTTATCTTCTTTTTGATTAAAACATTGATACTAATTCTCAAGGGGAGCAGGAAGAATATATCTTAATATTGTCATTGTAAAATAAAACTACTGTGTTGGATGAATTACATACCCTTACATGTCTTCCAGTAACAAGATATATAGCATTACATTGAATGAAGTAACTCTGACTCACAATGATTACAAAAAAATATTTAAGATTAAAAGGATCTATTTTTTTTCAGGTTTTGGATGTTTTGTGTTCTCTCTGTGTTTGTCATGGAGTAGCTGTGCGGTCTAATCAGCATCTAATCTGTGATAATCTCCTGCCAGGAAGAGATCTACTCTTGCAGACGCGCCTTGTCAACCATGTGAGCAGGTAAAAAGAAGAAAAAAGTCTGTAACTAAGAACAAAGCAGAATAAAATTTGTGTTTAAAACAAATAGTCACCACAGAAAACCTGGTTTACTTCCAAAACTTTTGTTAAGATATTTTGTTCGTACTAGGAATTTAAGTACTCTTCAATATTGATTGGAATCAAAAGGTCAGAGAGAGCTGCCGCAAGCTGAACACTGTGCTCTAAACTGCTTTAAATCTGTGAAACTGTAGTCTCTTCTAAAGATTCTTTTCTAAATTGAGCTGGGCTTTCAAAGTATTGTCAGCTAGTGTTCTGTGATTGCCTTTGTGTTTGTGGTCTTGTGAGGATTTCCTTATTGCATTTGGTCAAAATTGAGAATTTAGCGCCAAAGACCTTCACCAGTGCTGGGGTGTTTAGGGAGTTCACTCACCTTTCCTTCCTCTGGTAGAGTTGTGCAAGTTACCTTCCATCAGATATTAATAACAAGATGAAGCTTAACATATTTTTGCAGCACATTAGTTGTGAATCGGAATAGCCATATTCATGTAGTTATAAGAAAAGAAAAAGATTCTTTTTTTTACAAAAGTCAGAAAGACCAATGAAACCTTGAAAACATTTAGCAATAGAGTGAGACTTGCGTACCTCGTGCCAAAAATAATTGGCAAAAGAACTTTCTAAGATACTGCTATTTAACATACTTTTCCAGGGGACTGGAAAAAAAGAGTAAGTTGGACAATTAGATGTGGAGTCTGGACAAAAGCATAGTAAAGTTGATACTGTTCAGGCAGAAAAGATTCAATTGGTGATTTTAGCAATAACTTAGAAATCTTAGCTGGAAGATAGCTTTTGTCAAATGGATTTTGTTTAAGGAGATTGAATTTTTGACTCGTAACAAAATGAAGAATATCTATACTTAAAAATTTGGCAGAAATTGAATAATATTAATAGAGTCAATGGCCTAGGTTGGAAGGGACTTTAGAGATCATCTAATCCAACCTCCCTGCCATGGGGAGATATGCCCTTAGCTAGACCTGGTTGCTCAAGGCCTCAGCCAACCTGACCTTGAACACCTCCAGGGAGGGGACATCCACAACCTCTCTGGGCAATCTATTCCAGAGTTGCCACTCTTGTACTGAAAAATTTCTTCCAAAAATCTAATCTAATTCTATTCTCCTTCAACTTAATCCCATTTCCCCTTGTCCTATCACTGGATGCTCTTGTAAAAAGTCCCTCCCCAGCCTTCCTGTAGGTTCCCTTCAGGCATTGGAAGGCAGTTATAAGATCCCCCTAAGGCTTCTCTTCCCAAAGCTGAACAATCCCAGCTCCCTCAGCCTATCCTCATAGCAGAGATGCTCCAGCCCCTGGATCAATTTTGTGTCCCTCCTCTGGACTCGTTCCAACAAATCCGTATCCCTTTTATGGTGGGAACACTAGAACTGGATACAGTATTCAAGGCAAGGTCTCACAAGAGTAGAATAAAGGGGAAGAATCACCTCTCTCGCCCTGCTGGCCACACTCCTCTTGGTGCATCCCAGGGCATGGTTGGCCTTCTGGGCTGCATGAGCGCACTGCTGGCTCGTGTTGAGCTTCTCAGCTATCAACATCCCCAAGTCCTTCTCTTCAGGGCTTCTCTCAACCCACTTCTTACCTAGTTTGTATTTTTGCCTGGGATCGCCTCGACCCAGGTCCAGGACCTTGCACTTTGACTTGTTGAAGCTCCTGCAGTTTGCAATGGCCCATTTCTCAAGCCTGTCAAGGTCCCTCTGGATGACATCTCTTCCCTCAAGTGAATCCACTGCACCACATAGTTTTGTGTCATTGGCAAACTTGCTGAGGGTATATTCGATGCCATTGTCCATGTCACTGATAAGGACGTTGAACAGCACTGGACCCAGAACAGGCCCCTGAGGAAGTCCATTTGTCACTGGTCTCCACATGAAGATCAAGCTGTTGACCACAACTCTTTGAGTGCGACCTTCTAGCCAGTTCCTTAACCACCAAATGGTCCATCCGTCAAATCCATGTCTCTCCATCTTAGAGAGAAGGATGTCATGTGGGACAGTGTCAAATGCCTTGCACAAGTCCAGGTGGATGGTGTCAGTTGCGCTTCCCATGTCAACCAGTGCGGTAGCTTTGTCGTAGAAGGCCACCAAATTAGTCAGGCATAATTTACCTGACTGTCACCAATCACCTTGTTATTTTTCATATGCCTTAGTACTGTTACCAGGCAGATCTGTTCCATGATTTTTCCTAGCACAGAGTTTAGGCTGACTGGCCTGTAGTTCCCTGGGTTTTCTTTGCTTCCCTAGCTTAGAGCTACATTTTTGTTGATTAGGCAGCTTCTATGCAGAAAGAAAATATTTATAGAAGTTATAACCTAATGCAGTGGAGGGATGTGAAAACTAGATAAATTGAGCCTAGAAGTCTAAAAGATGGTTTGCAATATGGGTAACCAACCGTTGAGAAAATATACCTAGTATTGATTTTGGATACTTCTGTACTCTACAGCTTTAATTCCAGATTGGATGGCTTTTTTAGTACAAAGCTGACACGGTAATGAGTGTCTGGAAACAGAGTTTTTGGGGTGAGATTCTAGATTCAGTGTTATCTCAAAAATCAGATTAGAAGGGCATGGCTTTCTTTCTTTTTTTTTTTCCTTCATGACCTTTAGATATATGACTCTACATATTGCTCTTTAAGTAGATATTGAATAAGCACTGTAATTGTTTTGCCTTTCAAGTATGCTTGTAAAGTACTTCAAAATCATCATCAGTAGGAACATCAAATTGATATTAAGGATTAGTATAACCACTACAAATCACTGAATTATACAAGACTTGGAATAAGTAAAGAAGAGGTAGAAAAGAATTTTGAAGTAGATCGACATTTCACTTTTGTGTCTTTGTAAATAGTGTTCTCTTGAATGAATAATCAGTGTTACTGAGTGCAGTTTGCTACATAAAATTAAAACTGCAATGTGTACATTTCTATTGGTAACTGGTGAATAGCTGTCATTTTTGTTTGAAGGATTCAGCATTTATTAAACACTGAAACACATAAAATATTAATGGTATCTGAGTGAGGGTACTGTTTTAGTTACTAAAACATATTTTTACTTTAACTGTATAGAGCATTTTTAACGAGAATAAATAAATAAATAAATAAATGTGCTTCCTTCTGGTAGCTAAGGTCTGTGATTTTGCTGAGAGGGTGCTGCAACTTGTCAAGAGCAGAGACTATATCTGTTGCTGCTCTTTCATGTGGACAGTAATGACAATGCAAGACAGAACCTGGGCAGAATAAAGCAAGGCTACAAAGCCTCAGGAGTGCGAGTGGAAAGCATTGGTCCCCAAGTTATCTTTTCTTCCATTTTCCAAATTAGAGGAAAGGCTACAGTCAGAAATAGATGTGTAATGCAAATCAGCCTGGGTTTTGGCTTTTATTACAATGGAAAATTCTTCAATGACTCTAGCTTGTTAGGAAGGGATGTGATCCACCTGTATAAAGCTAGTCCTAGTGAGATTCCGGTTGGACACAAGAGGAAAGTTTTTCAAAATGAGAACAATCAGCCATTGGAATAATCTCCCCAGGGAAGTGCTGGATTTTCCAGACTGGACACAAAAAAGTTCAGTTGCACAAGGTGCCTGGGCAATCTTGTCTAGACTGTGTTTTTGCCAAGAAAGATTGGACCAGATGATCATAGATCATGATAGAAAGGCCTAGGCTGGAAGGGGCCTTAGAGGTCATTTAATCCAACTTTGCCGTCATACGCAGGGATGACTCTCAACACATGGGGACGGAACGGGGATCGAACCCATGACCTTGGTGTTATCGGTACCACGCTCAACCGACTGAGCTAACTGGCCCCCTTGAGGTCCTTTATAAATTGATATTTTATGATTCTATGAAATAAAATCACTTGTTTTGTTTTAATCACACAAGTATGAAATTTGAGTTTAATGAAAGGTCTGCAGTAGTTCATCATATTCTTGAGATAAGTTAAGTTCTTAATAACCACTTCTTTCTGTTTAAGCATGCGGCCCAACATCTTCTTGGGGATTAGCGAAGGCTCTGCCCAGTACAGAAAATGGTACTATGAGCTTATGGTGGACCATCTGGAGCCCTTTGTTACTGCAGAATCAACTCATCTGCGAGTGGGCTGGGCTTCAACAGAGGGCTACTCACCGTATCCAGGAGGAGGAGCGGAATGGGGAGGAAACGGTGTTGGTGATGACTTGTATTCCTATGGCTTCGATGGCCTGCATCTGTGGTCAGGTATTTTGGTTTTTTTGGGGGTGATGAGTGGGGCAGTGGTGTTAAATACTAGAAAGCTGTTCGCAGTTCCAGTGAATTTGTTTTTAACAGCAGCAAAGGGAATCAGATGTTGCAGTTGACACGAGGAATATACAGGAACAGTAGCCTATATGAGAATGCTTTAAATTGACATTGCATATTGAAAAAAAATGTTTTATACAAAGTAAAGCAGATGATAATAATTTCTGTTTCAACCTGGGAATTATTTGGGGTTTTTTTGATGGTATCTAAAAGGATTTTATTTAAAACTCCAAAGGTGCAAAAAAAATGAAGTCTGTATTTGTAATTCCTGTCTAATGGTGTAAGAACAATCTGAGAGATTTAATTAAGAGAAATGTCACATTTTTTTTCCAGACTGTTAAACTTCAGTTTAGAAGTTTAGAAATACTTTAAAGGTGGAGAATATTATGTATGCTTTCTGGCCACAGATTTTAAATATTGTAATTATTTACATGCATTAAGACTGTTTATTGCAAGACTTCAGAATCATATTCCTAGCTTGCATGTGATGTCTTTGGTCAGGTGTCAGTCTTTAAACTGTTAATGGCTCAGCTTGGTTCTGTTTGGTAATAGTAATTTCTGTATGCAAATGCTAGTGTTGAAGGAAGCTGAACTGAATATCGAAAATATTTGTAAATACTATTGATTCTGCAAATGTATTATTCTCTCTTCTAACTGGATTAGCTCAGCAAAATCAGAATAATAAGAAAGCAAGCTCATTTTCATAATCTTCTTTACAAATTGATGATTTGTGAAAAGATTCCCAGATGTTAGTTAGAATGGGTAGTCTTATACTTGAACAGTCCTAGACTTACTGCAAACAGTTTCTCCTGTGGTTTTGCCTTTTTAAGGAAATTTTTTTTTCCTTTGATTTTGAGAGATTATTGGGCAGTGGTGAACTGTAGAACTGTCTGGGAACTTTGTTAGGCTCATTGAATTGGCAGTTCTTACAACTATGAAGATATGAGCAAGTTTTCTAAAGCTCCTTAGCGGACAAGAGAGACATTTTAGTGAGTCATCTCTATGTAATACTCAAGGTCTTTGAGATTTTGAGGCATTGTGGCTTGGAAGTTTTGAAGGGAATACTTTTATGTTTCAAAAGAATTTTCTCATCAAAATAGCAATGGATTGTATTACTAAGTAATAACATGTCAACTGGAGTGGTGTTTTAGGAAAGTAGCTGCCACTTTGCCTCTCATGTATAGTGAAAATTACTTTGGAATAATGGTGCATAATTAATGGTGTCATTAAAGCTCTATCATAACTAAGTCTTTCAGATAAAGTATTATTACAGAAGAACCAGAAAGTAATGAGCCAACCAAAAAAATGAAACCGTTATGTAGTTTTTTCCTCCCTTTTAGGGAAGAAATTAAAGAATACTGAAAATCAAAAGGATTTTTCTACTCACCAGAAAGGACTAAGTAGTTGAATGTGACTGCTACTGTGTTTCTCAACAGTATTTCCTATAGATTTCTTGATCTGTGAGGCGATCTTAGGATTGCTCTATGTCATTCCTCTGTCTTGCTCCTGGAACTGACTATTCTTACCAAAACCGACCCAAGGACATCCTGTCCTGAAAGGGTGTTGGGAAGCATCAAGAGCATCCGATTTTTTTTTTTCCCCAGCTACAGTGCTGAGGGACAGATTGCACAAGAGGATCTGTCCTACAGTCTGCAAATTATGTGACAATATTAGCAAGTTATGTAGAGCATCAGAGGTGTTGGTTTTTTACTGTTCCTTGGAGGGTTGTGGTGATGTGCATACGAAAATTTATCTGCAGAAGAATTACTGAGATTTTTCTGTTATTATTTTTACTGCTGTTAAAAACATATGCCATCTTCATCTTTTTGGAAACAAAGTGCTTTTATTAAAGTCCTTCATATTTACAGAATTTGGACAGCACAGTTAAATAGTGCTCTGTTCTTAATATGCATTATGGTTTATCTATTGCAGACTTTGCATATGTTATTTTTTGAAAACATGTCTAAAGGTATTTTCATACAGGTTTTAAACCATTCTGTAAAATTTCTCTTGTAGATTACAGTAAATTTCAGGAACAGACATTTTCTGTTCATGTATTCTACACATTATTTCTCTTGAGAAGCAGATGTGCTTGTGCAAATGTAATTTGATGCAAGAGAGTATGATTCTTCAGAATTCATATAAAACTTATTAAGGATAAGTCCAGGTATTACTGAATATATAGGCCTTAAAATTGATGATATGACAGGAAGATGCTGGTTTGCAGTTTTGTTATGAAACTGACTAGTATCATGTTATACAAGTTTGTGATGGTACCATGATGTGACCCTTAATAACATAAAGTACATTACTTTTCCTAAATAATTTAAAATATGATACTAGTCCTGATCTTGAATAATGAAGCAGTCTTTAGCTTAAAATCAGGATTTAGAAGTTATAGGTTAGCTATTTATGTTTTAATGTGTTTATGCTCTGTGATTGTTTCCTTTCTCTGCTTTTAGGCTGTTGTCAAAACCTTTAAAATTTTCAGAAGTTTTGCTAAATGCGTCTCCTTTACTTTCATAGGTTGTGTAGCACGAACAGTAAATTCTCCCAACCAACATCTGTTAAGAACCGATGATGTTATTAGCTGCTGTTTGGACCTGAGTGCCCCCAGCATCTCTTTCCGGATAAATGGTCAGCCAGTTCAAGGAATGTTTGAGAATTTCAACATAGATGGCCTCTTCTTCCCAGTTGTCAGCTTCTCCGCAGGAATAAAGTTAGCATCCTGTGTAGTTTATCTGTTGGTTGGTTTTTTTCCTGTTGTTGTTTTGTTTTTTTCCCCCCTCCAGTCTGGTGTTTTTGCTGTATATGTGAATATGCTGAATATTTCCCTGCCTGTCTTTGCTCTTATTTCACTTTTGGACGTCTGCTTCTTTGGCACAGTTCCAGTTCTTGGGTAGGGAGAGCTACAAAGGAGTCCTGAAGAGATACTGAGTCTGTTGTTTTTCAGCGCACCACATTGTATTCAGGTGGTTTGCAGATAGGCCTTAGAACAGCTTCACTACCATTTCTTAGCTGGCACATTGGCTACACATACACTCAAGGACAGCATTTTATCTATACGGGAAGAAAAATATCAGTCCTGGATATTAAAAATACATTTGCCCTAATTCACTTGTTATGAGGTAGTAACTATTATTTGAAGATGCATTATCTGAACTTACCTTAAGAAGTGGTGGTGGTGGTGCACCTTCTTTTCA